TTAACTGGCAGGATAACTGAAAATCAGGGTTTTGCTTTATCGTTAGACACGAACAGCCTAGGGGAAAGAACTACATCAAACACAAACTCCACCCGACCATCTGATCAGAGCCTTGCAATTAACTTCCCGTTGTGAGAAGCAGAACTAGCGTAAAGAGGGCTTTAAAGGAAAATAAATGGTCCAGGGAATGATGAAGTTTGTAAGATTCTATTTTATCTGTCTCTCAAAAAAAAAAAAATCAGTGCCTAAAAAACATCATAAAAATCCTTGGGGGAGGGGGGACTCTATGTTAATTATATTTCCATTTGGGCTAAAACTGCAGAGAGATAAGATGGCTGCACAAAGGTGACTCGGGGGCACGGGAACCGACATGTGAATAGACATGATTAAAAGATGCTAAACAGGCCGGTTCTGCCGAGCAGCAACCAAGAGAGATGTGCCTGTCACTGGAAAACGTCCACAGAGTAAACAGCAGCCAGGGTCATTACGGAATTGAATAGAAGAAATAAATTGGGGTGAAATTAAGGACAGAGAAATGTGAACTGAATATCCATGATGGGAAGAGCAGCCAGACAGCGAGACATCTCCCCCAGGGTAATTATGAGACATCTTCTGAAGGATTCTGAAAGGTCACATTTCACCATGTCCTCAATAAGCGTTTTTCCTGTCCTGTGGGCTAGAAATACCTCTCTTCAAAGACCAGGAAATATATATATTTTATATATATATATATATAATCTGAGAGCAATGAGTATAGGTGGGCATTAACACGGGAAGCTTATGTGAAAGAAAATAAATAAGTAATATGAACCACAGGAAAGAGACAGGTCATTGGCAAGCTGAGAAGGGATTGGAAACACGCCCCGTCTAGAGTCTTGGAAGAAGGAACCACAGACCGTCCGTCAGCAACAGCAGTAGCTCTGTGTTGGAACCGATGGCACAGATGTCTGTCTAACCCATCAGCCCATCTTGGATTCTCCAGGCAGTTCAAGCAGTAGCCTCATAGTTGGTGACAATTTAATATGTGTGTTTTCTCTCCTCTCCTCTCTCCCTCTCACCCCCACCGCCCCCTGCCACCCAGTCTGTCTCTCATGGGGTGGAGTTTTGAAATAGGTTTTTACTGAGTAGTCCTGGCTGTCCTAGAACTCTATAGACCAGGGTGGCCTCAAACTCACAGAGATCCAACTGAATCTACCTCCCAAGTGCTGGGATTAGATGCATGTGCCGCCACCATCACCCCGCAATACGGGTGTTTTTTAGGTCCTTAAGCAATGAAATAATTCTCCAGCAATCTTTTGTGATACTCTCTGTTTGACTAATTGCTGAGAGTACTCGTAGCTCAGAATGCAGGCTAGCATTAAACAGATCTGAGATAAAATTTCCACTCTAATATTTACTACATGATTATAACTATGACTATTAGCCCATTAACATACCATTTAGTGGTCCAACTATCACCTGAAATTGAGGCATCGGCGCTCTTGGTTGCAAAAACCACAAGGGAAAATGTAAACATAAAAGATCAATGTTTCGGAAAGCTGTGTAGAATTCAGAGAATTAACTAGAATCAGGTGAGATGATGTGTGGGCGCTAAGATCACCAAGCCTTGGGCAGGCTGGTGCCTCTAGGATGTGCCTGCATGAATTACTGTCATCACTGTCACTGGGCCATAAACTAGACCCTGCTGCCAAGGAGAGTGGATGCTGCAAGCATCTAAAGGATCTCTGCATCCCTTTTTCTCACACTGAATTCTGGTTCCTCACTGGGAGCACCTCCTGGCCAAGTCTAGGTTACATATGTGTGCCGAAGCTCTCACGGGACAGAGTGAGGGTGTGTCTGCTCTTCATCTGCTTTAACAGAAGGCAGAACTCAGCCTCAGTGGAGGTTCACACCGTGAGAGAGTTCCTCCAGGTTAAAATCTGACTAGCTCAATTCCATTCCTGACCTTCTTCTCATTAAAATTGCTGAAGCCACTCTTTCCTAACCAAATGCAAATAGTCCACACAGTCAAAAAAAAAAAAAAAGCACTAATCTTCTCCAAAAAGGAAATAAGCAGTTCTTGCACCGACTCTATTCCAGAGTCTGTGAATGACAGTGTCTCCTCTAAGGAGCATGGCTGCCACATCTCAACATCCAGCAAACAATGGACCAAATTGCAGCAAGATCAACTTGGTCTCGACAGTGCTGAAAAAGGTAGAAGAATGGAAAAGGGTGCTAGCAAGCATTCCCGTGCCTTTCTAACCTAAAGCCACTAAATTCTAAGTTCAGTCAGTAAGAGGTCAGACTGCAAGAGCTGTTCTTTACAAATATCAGAGCAAAGAAGGAAGCAGGTAGAAAGGAAATCTCTGATCATTCTATCTGCGCTCAGTCACTCGGCCACAGATAAAATTCTCTTTCTTCCTCAGCAGTTTTTTTTCTTAGTGAGATCACCCAGATCTCCATTCTTGATAGGCAATATGATTTCTTGGGAAACCTGTCTATATGGAACGACAAAAGCCTTACGTAATCATTTTTCTTTTTGTTATGAATGAATAACTGACAAGAAGCAACTGAAGGGGAAAAGGCTTTATCTTAGCTCACAGTTTAAGATGGTATAAAGTTCATCACGGTGGGGAAGGTGTGGCAGCATCAGTGTAAGGCAGCAGGCCACATTGCATTTGGTCAGGAACCAGAAGAGAGAACAGGACAGAGGGCAAGGAAATCAAAACCTGAGGCCTCCCCCTGCTGACTCACTTCTACTAGCAAGGCTCCCTAAGGTTTCACAACCATGTAAACAGTGACAGGAGCTGAGGACCAAGTACTAAAACCCCTGGGGAAGCTTTTACATTCGAACTTGGCACACCATATTCAGTATCCTCTCTGAGTACAGTAGGAGAGGGTTTCCCAAATCATTCCCAGAACGTCACAATAGCTGCTTGTTTCCTTATTTCTGTTTTGTTTTGTTCAGTGTTAGGGACTGCAGCTAGGATCTCTGGAACACTAGGCAGCCACTCTGCCATTGAGCAGGATCCCAACACCCCACTCAACACCAACCTCTTCTGTTATGACAACATGAGTAGACCCAAGTGGACAGATAATAGGCTCATTTTCCAATTCACTGTTTTTGTTTTCCTTTTAGCAGATGTATTCACCCCTTGAGCACTTAGGGTCCTAACCATTAGCAACCAGGAGAAGAATATAAGCAAAACATTTTAATTAGTCATTAGGTATAATTGGTTCTATTCTTTGCTTCCAAATAATCCGAGACTAGTCTAAGAATATAGAGCTAATATTAGCCTGAAGAGCTTGCTAGATGTTATGTTGTATCTGACACGGTACGTCTTCAAAATTTCTGTCGATAAAGCTAGCTAATACTGCATGAAGAGAACCTATGAAGATAAACAAATAGATAAGAATGAACAGATTGCCTTTCTTAATTCATTATAAAGGAGTCTGATGAAATGTTGTGTAGAACCTGTGTATAAGGTCTCTAGTAAATCCATGATTACTAGGAGTTGAAACATCAGCAAAACAATTCACTGTCAACGACAGCCCTTACTTTATGCCTTTTTCCAACCTTCTGAGATTTCAGATACTGCCCAGGGTTTCCCCTATGGAACTCATTACTCATCCAAGACCAGGTTGAATGGAGAGGTGAGCTCTCTGCATCCCACCCTGGGCTCACACAAAGTTCAGAGTGCCAAATCAGACTCCTACCATTTCCTTCTCATTCATCTCCTTCCAAAGAATGCCCATGAGATCAGTTGTAGGTGGATTTTCAGTTGCAAATGGGGTTTAGAAAGTCATAAGCAGCAAAATATGATGGTTCATGCTCAGGATCTCGAGCTTTGGAGGTAGAAATGGGAAAATCAGAAGTTTCAAGGCCAGCCTTAGCAAGCTTGTGCTACAGGAGACACTGTCTCAAAAAGCAAACAAAACAAAAGCCGAGAGTATGAGAAAGAAGTAAGGGAAGAAGGAAAGAGTAGCTGAGTGAAACGAAAATAAAAACCTCATGGTGCAGGCCATGATCAGTGACAAAGCATGTGTTTTAGATAAGAGTCACGGTGTTTAGGAAAGGAAATGCAATCGTGCTGGCTAATCTTACATCAACTTGACACAAGCTGGAGTCATCAGAGAGGATGATTGGGAGCCTCAATCGAGAAAACGCCTTCATATGATCCCTCTCTATGGCATTTTCCTAATTAGTGATCAATGGGGGCGGGCCTCATCCCTGGACTGGTGGTCCTGGGTTTGTAAGAAAGTGAGCTGAGCAAGTCAGCAAGCATCGCCCGGCCATGGTCAGTGTATCAGCTCCTGCCTCCAGGTTCCTGCGCTGTGTGAGTCCTGCTCACATGCTTTTGATGATGAACTGCTAGCTAGAACTGTGAGGGAAACGAAACCTCCCCTCCCGATGTCACTTACCTGGTCATGGTGGTTATCACAGCAGTAGTCACCCTGTCCAAGACAGCAATCAATTATAGGTCTTTGGCATAAGTAATAAATAAGCATGCAGTTGATACACCTCACCAGCCCAAAATTTGATACTTTAATCTTAGTTTATCTGCTCTTGTACTACATATACCATGATTAGTCTGCGTCTCCTAAGACCCAAATACTTTATCCCACAAATCACACAAGCCTTCTTCCTTCTGCATTCTCTACCCCTCCTCCACACACACACACTATTATTGTGAAATAATCAGTTTTAGAGTTAAGAAACTCTTCTTTCTACTTGATCAATTCTATTTATGGTCTTATATCTCCTATTTCCCTCATTTTATTTTTCACATCAAGAATGTATATGTAAATGGATAAATATTTCATGTTTAAAATAAACATTTTAAATTTCGCAGTCTGATCCTGTATTCCTGACTTTACTGAATCATTTCTCTACTTGAAAACAGACAAACCGCTTTTTCTCTGCTGCCGCCAAGGTACTCAGTCCTTCCGAGGAAGCTAAGGTCGCATTGGGGTGAGGCCCTCACTTCATCCAGACTAGCACCCTGCCGGCAATCCACAACATGGCCTCCTTCTCTGAGCTCCCCTGCATCTACTCTGCCCTCATCCTCCACAACGACGAGGTGACGGTCATGGAGGATAAGATCAAGGCCCTCGTTAAAGCAGCTAGTGTCAATGTTGAACCTTTCTGGTCTGGCTTGTTTGCAAAGGCCCTGAACAACGTCAACACTGGGAGCCTTATCTGCAATGTAGGGACTGGTGGGCCTGATCCAGCAGCTGGAGTCGCACCAGCAGTGGAAGCAAAGAAGGAAGAATCCGAGTCCGAGGAGTCTAATGACGACATGGGCTTTGGTCTTTTTGACTAAGTATTTTGATAACATATCTAATAAAAAGGTGAACCTGAAAAAAAAAACAAGCAAACACACAAAAACCAAGATTTCCTGATCTTCCTTAAGACAGTAAAGTAATTATCTAACTCTTTTTCAGGGGGCTCATAAGTTTTCGCTTATTTCTGATGGGCATCTCATTTCTTCTTTTAAGGGTATCTCCTTTCCTTGATTGTTCCAGATGCTGTTGCTATACAATGGCACATTTAGCGAAGTGGGGTCTTATTCCTTCCGTGCAGAAACTGTAGACCGACTGGCTTTCTCTAGGAAAGCTATCCACCAGCCCACTGAGGCAGAGGTCCCGGGCATGCTGTCTGATAGGAAGTCAAGCAAACTTGGCTTTCTCGGCACTTTTCAGACAGCTTGGCCTGTCTGGATCAGCAGGCAGACAGACCTGTTTACATGCACAGAGTCCAGCGTGGACCGTGGGTCTAGAGCCACAGTCTGAGTTCACACAGCACTGGCTTAGAACCGCAGTTCACAGGTACCAGTCTGGTTCCGGGATCTACCAGGATCAGTCCCGATCCTAGTTCTGTTAAGACCACACCTGAACTCCAAGATCACTGAAGCCATAGAAACCCTCCTGGAACCTGGAACTGCCATGGTACTGAGGCACGATTGGCGTGGATTCATGAGAACCAACTGGAAGTGTGGGTGTACAAATGCTGACACGGAAGTTAGGCCAGTGAGGGCTGTTAGATAACCGTCAAATATGGGTTTGACGGTTATCTTAGGGTATACCAACACTAAGATCTACTGGGATGCGCTTAGTCTTCTAAAACTTTGGCACTACCAGTGCCAGCTTGGATGGTAGCGTCACAGACATGGTCCTAGCACACAGAAGGCCTAGATTTTGAAGTTTGCAGTGCCGACCAGGTAAGCATGAAACCCAAAATTTGTGAACTTCCTTAGCTTTGAGACATTCTTAATATCTTAATATGGGCTTAGAGCTTAGGAGTACAGTATTGACAGAGGTTTCTGTCCCACCAGGTCCCACAGTCGTTTAGTCCCAAATAAACGCACAGAGGTCTACATTAATTATAAACTGATTGGCCTATTAGCTCAGGCTTCTTATTAACTCTTATAACTTATATTAGCCCATAATTCTTGTCTGTGTTAGCCACGTGTCAGTCACATCTTGCTTGCTCTGTGTCTGGCTTCCTCTGTGTCTGGATGACGACTGCAGACTGAAACTTCCCTCTTCCCAGAATTCTCATTGCCCCACCTCTACTTCCTGCCTGGCGACTGGCCAATCAGTGTTTATTTAAAATACAAGTGACAGGGTACCGACCATTGTCCCACAGCAGTTTAGGGATTCACCTGTCACTTGAAAGGCCTGGAGCCCGTGTCACAGTAGGTACCCTTAAGACTGGGCCTGTGAGCTACTTGACAACTAGAATTATAGGGACTAGACTTGTGTAGGGTCTCGTCCTGAGACCTGAGAGTGTGCAGGCCTACCTAGAGAAGAACGTTAACCAGAGCTGGGACTACAGGATATAACTTAGAAATGGAGTCTGTAGGGACTGAGCTGCCGCTGTGGGCCAAAATATAGGCCTGAAGTGAATGGTCTATCACTGGTATAGACTGAGTTCAACAGGTAGGTCTGGAACCTGAGACTGTGACTTAGAGGTTCACCTATGGGTGCTGTCCTAGTGTCTAGGACTATAGTGGTCTACCCAAGGCTGGATATGTGTGCAGGCATGTATTCATATGTAGGGGTGGGCACACACATTCTATGGTATGCATGTGGAAGTCAGAGGTGTTCACTTTCATTTTCTATCTTGTTTGAGACAAGGTCTCTATTGTTTGGGTACATCGGACAAGCTGGCCCATGGCTTCTGAGGGTTCTCCTAGCTCAACTTCGCACCTCATCTCTAGGATTACAGGCAGGAATGACCAGCTTTTCACGAGTTCTGGGGATTTGAACTCAGCTCCTCATGTTGTGTGCAAGCACTCTAACCGGTGACCTAGCTCCCCAGCATCCACTGCTATTTGTTTGTTTGTTTGATTGATTGATTGATTCAACAGGGTTTCACTGTGTAGCCCTGGCTGTCCTGGAACTCACTCTAAAGAGGCTAGTCTCACAGAGATCCGCCGGGCTCTGCCTCTCAAGTACGAGTACTGGGATTAAAGACATGCGCCACCTCTGCCAGGTCCAGTGCTGGATTTTATTGGAGCAGGGCTAATTGTAGAGTCAGCAATAAACTCCAGCACTCACCCTACAAACACACACACACACACACACACAGAGTATCTTCATCTGTTCTCTGATGCATAGGGTTAGACCACTATAATGCATAAAGCTTCCCTTCCTACCCTTTTTAGTGCGTCTCATTTTTGTTCCTCCCTCCTGTACTATAATTACACACTCGTTGGAATTTGCTCTGCAGGAAGTACTTCCCTTGGTGGCAAGTTGTCTGCATCAACATTTATGTGAGAGACAATACGTTGGAAAGCTCTGGTCTACCACCGTGCTGGCATTCAGCTCTCAGCATCTATTCACGACGAGTTTCTGCATAGAGTATTCCTGTAGAAAACCACACGAGACTAAGTCTAATAGGTTAACAGGACTCATTTCCTCCCACAAATCATTACCCTGAACATACATCCCAACGGCATCCAATTAGCAGATCAGAACTATGACATTGGAGGAGGAAGTCATGAAGGGAGGCCGCAGAAAAGAGCCACACTGAACTCTCGTCAGTAACGTTCCCACACCCTGACAATGTCCCCCTGCTGCCTACAGTTCTAGATTTTCTCCACCAGATTGTCTTTCCCCAAACACTGATGTAATCGCACGGGGAAGAAATGAGCACAGGAGACATCTGGAGGGACTCAGAAACCCGAAGGTGAGAGACTGCTTGTTACACCCCCTCCTACGTGATGTATTCTAGACCGGAGTCTTCGAGTGTCTTCTACAGCAAAAGTGTTTCTTCTTCACAATTTGCCCTTCAACTTTTTAAAAAATAACTGAATAGTTAATTAATTCTCCAGAGAGAAGGGAAATATTCCGTTTCTGGATTGATTAATGAGTAAAGACTGTACAGCGTTTCTATAACTCTAACCTCATTAAAATCAAATGAAATGCCCACTAAATGCCTATGGCTATGCAGCCTAAAGGATATCTGAAGGTTGGAGTTGAGTGTTAAGTATGTCTACAGGACAAAGAGCAACTGAACAGCCTCCATCCTGATTTCAAAACTGGACTGTCGCGGAATTAAAAGGAGATGGGCAAATAATAGCCCTTAATTTTGTGAGACAATGCAAGCATCTTTAAGTGATAGTTCACAGTAAAAAAAATTATAAAAAACTATATGGTAGGTTTTTTTAATGGTACTTCCTTAATTTCACATGATGAATTAAAATTTCTACAATAGGAAAATTACATACTGATGCCCATCTAGACAAATAATTCATGAAATCAGTATGTTAACTAAAATTTTGGGCAACACAAGACTGACTATCTATAATGTCAAGATGATGACCCATAGACTATTTCAAAATAGTGTTGAAAGCATTTCACGTATCACAGACTAGTAAAATGATTGCTGATTGATTATGTTTTCCCCTTGTTACAAGAAGGTATCCAACAACCTCAGCTCCAGGACAGCTTCATGGTATTGGAACTGATGAGTAAAACAGTGGCAGGAAGCCCTTCATGATGGCTTTAATTCCAGCACTCAGGAGCCAGAGATGGGTGGCTCTCCATGAGTTCAAGGCCAGCCTGATCTATACAGTGAGTTTCAGGTCAGTGAGGGTTCCATAGTAAGACCCTGTCTCATGACAACAGCAGCAAGGGGTAAACCAGGCAAGTGTCGCACACGAATCAAAACAGGAGTAGAGGAAGAAAGTGACAGATTATACCAGAACAAGGAAATTCACAAATAGGTTATAAGTGAACATGCTACGGGACTTTTGTCAATGGGGTGAGTGTCTCAAAATCTTATAGTAGTATAAGCTTACTACGATCTACCTCCCTAAACAATGGACAAAATCTTCTTTCTGGACACCATTGTCATGTAAATGCTTAAACATGATGGTTTGGATATAAAAATGTCTCTCAAAGGCTTGTGGGTTGAAATTGTTGAGTTCGCAGCGGATGGACTTCTGAGAACTGAGAGAATCCTGAGAGCGCCCTTGTCTAGATGGGTTTACCCATTGGTGATTTTGTAGCTGGATGGACTATTGGGAAGCAGTACAGGGCTGGAAGCAGCCGGTCACGTGAGACTCGCTTTTGAAGAACGTATCTTGTGCCTACACCCCTCTGCGCTGTTGTGTGTGACAGAACAGACCACCAACAAGGTAAGCAGCCCTCTGTCATGATATGCCCAGGGTCAGAAACATCGAGCCAGCTGACCTCTGACCAAAACCTCTAAAACTGTGATCCAAAGTAAGTCCCTCCTCCCAAGAGTTGTTTTCCTCCGAGTGTTGTCATAGCAATGAAAAGTGCCTGGTCCAAGCAGGCTCTCATCTATGATGTTGGAATTACACACGCATCCAAAATTGAAATCGCCAAAGATCTGTGACAGGTGATTAGACCCTGCCGTTTTATTTAGGGATAAGAGTCTCCCTCCTAAAGAGAGAAGTTCTTGTATAAAAAAAGTTATAGCCAGGCTTGGTGATGCATGCTTGTAATCCTAGCACCTAGAAGGTAGAGGCAGGAGGCTCAAGAATTCAGTGTTGCCCTTAACTACACAGTGAGTTTCAGGCCAGCCTTGGCTACGTGTAACCTAATCTCCACAAGGATTAAAAATAAAATAAAGACTACATGAATAGGGGACCAGAGAGATGGCTCAGCAGTATGGGATACTTGCTGCTCTCACAGGGAGCTCACAGCTGTCTGCAACCCAGTTTCAGAAGATCTGACATCTTTTTCTGGCTTCCAAGGACATCAGGCACGAATGTGTTACACATACATACACACATACAGACAATACACTCAGACACTCATGCACATAAATAAAAGGAAATAAATAATT